GGTTTGAATGACAGGTAAACAGTCTGTGTAGAGAGGTGGAACATATTGGCTGAAATCTGAGACAATGAGTTAGCATTATTATTATTTTTTTTTTTAATCTGCATTCATATGATGATAACTGTTTATAGAGTTTTGCCAAAATGGCCAGCACATGAAAGGGAAGTCTTGGCTTGGACTTCCACTTGCTTCACTGGCTCAGCTTTGAAATATTGGCCCTCGGCCCCAGAAGCTTGTGTCAACCCGAAAGCCGATGATTTTGAAGATTGGGTCTGCTCAATCGGAATTCCAATTGGCTTGTGGTGGTTACTGAATACTCACTATGCTTATTGTGTCATGCATATTCTATGCTATGTACCACAGTAACCAAACCAGTCTCACTCCGAAGTTGTCAAAATCTGGCAAATGTGGCTCTTGGGCAGTGACTTGCGACGTCAGACACCACGAACAAAGCTGTCCTTTCACGTGGGCATGATACCCGGTGGGTCACCATTATAGTTTACAGGTGTTCAGCGGTGTCAGGGGGGAAAACGGGAGAGCAGTGTTCATGTCCTGTAAGATTATAAAGCCGTACCCTGTTTGGCTGTACAGTATGTAAGACTGTATGTAAATGTTAAATTTCCTTTGAAAACAGAGTGTATTTTAAAAGACGGCAATGCATGTAACGGGCAGAACTTGACAGAGCTTCCCAGAACATCAACAACCAATGCACCCAGGGTACCTTGCACATTGTATCAGGACTTGGAAAGCCCATGACCAAACGTCGATATGTGACGAGATCGGAGTGAGAATGTGTTGTAGTAACCTTGCTACATGTAGCAGCTACGATTCTTCTCCTTTGGTCTGAGGGTCTTTTTAGAGGGTTATTCTTGTCATTTAGTATTGCACTTCCATAAAACTAGGGACTTACTTTTAGTCCTCAGTGTAGGCCAAGATTATAGAACACTGTATCGTACAATTCCATGATGCAACGTAATTGTGTCATGTCTAAGATTGAATTTTTATGTCGTCAAACTCCACACCCTCCAGCTTGAAACACAGGCTTTTTCTTAAGAATTCTAGGTCTCCAAGCCTAAACCAAGAGAACCCAAATGACATCTTTAGGGTTATTATTTAAGACATACATATTATACAAATGTCTTCTCAGGTTGAGTAGTGCTTCCCGATCAATAACAACTAAATTGATCTCGGTGTGCAAAATCCGGGGCGTTTCCAACTAGTCAAAGACCCATTCTTGGTCAGTAGCCCTTGGCTTCAGTTACTTATACATCTATATGAGACACACCAGGCTGTCTTGTTAATAACAGCTTTAAAGAACTGACACGTTTCACAACTGTTCACAGTTTCCTTTGAAAACATAAGTACATTTAGAAAATATAGTATACATGTAATGAGCAGAAACTAACACACCATCCCCGAGAGTCCAAAAGTGACGCCAGAGGGGTACATAGAGAGTCATAGTTTGATGCTTCGGGCACTAACCAAGTGTCAGTATTTGAAGAGTTGAGAGTAAGAATGCATGGTAACATCAACAATGTGCTGCTTATCATACAGGTGAAGTAATGGCTCACCCATGTGTATTTGTGTGAGGGATGTGCAATTATTTTGAGTACAGTTAGTTGACATTGTTAAGAGAGCTGTTTGAGAAGTCAGGTATTTGTTTACGACAGTTTAAGGGCATAATGTCTCACAGAATTAACATGAACTCCTGCTGCAAATGATGTGCTAAAATCTTCCTCTGTGCAAACACAACATCAATATATGTAACACCTAAGAAGGTTCAATCTGATACTGAGCTGCTCTGTCTAGAGAGAATGCACAGCAGCATGACAGGTAGCCTGTCTCTGAAAAATAATCTCAAATCTATTTTTTTCTTGATAACCCTTGGGGCGAGGAGTCCAGAGAAGGGCGACGGGAGTGAGGATATAGGTGGGTTGTAGGAAGCATGCAGGCGAGTGTGCTGCCAACAGAGATGTCCGTCCAGTGTTAAATCAATTACAGCACAGTCTGAACTGTTTGATAATATCAGTCATGACTGAGCAGATACAAGATTCCCTGGCGTTTACATTGTTTTTCCGGAACATGCCAAGAGATCTGTCGAGTAGCTGTCTATATGTTGGCGTGCTTCATCTGCGTGCTGGCTGTGTAGCAGAGTACAGCGGAGATAAGCTCCTCACGTGGGAACACAGTCAGGGCTGAAGAAAGCTGCCTAAGTTTGAAGGGCAATACATATGGTGAGATAAAGTCTCACCTAGCCTGCAGCACCCACGATATAGATGCACGCTTACAAAGGGCCTGGTGAGGCAGGAAGAAACAGTCGAGTCGCAAGATGATGAAAAGCCCATTCGGAATTCTGGTGAATTTTTATGCACTACTTTGTACCCTTTTTCTGCACCAGTTTATGGCGTAGATGTGCGCATGGTCTTTATTAATGTAAAGGAAAACGCAAAATTTAGTATTCTCATTAGTAAAGTATATTCTCAGCAATTCTGTATTGCTTTCAAATATTTATTCCCCTGTAGATCCACTTGTATCATTTAATATTATCCCTGCTGAGTCAGCACACATATAGGCGTTATACTCTTACGTCCTGTTTTGCATCTTTTGTTTGGGGAAGCAACCTCTTTAAAATGAAATTTAATTCACTTATAAACTCCTGGACTTTAGGAGTGAATATTTAGCAAGATTTCTGCTCATGTTCAAAACAGTCTGCACATTTAAAACATATTCCATATATGTGTTATCAGAGAATTTGACTGTCTGACAGACACATGTCTCTGGATGATACAAAGTTCAGGGAAGTGGTTGTGTGCTGCTCTGAAAACATTTTTGATTTCACCATTGTATGTCTTATTGTCCACACACATGTTAACTTCACCACCTTTGATAAATCACAGCTTCTCAGTCGGCAGCACACCCAGTGACACAGAGCTGCCAGTCAGATGAAAGATGCAGCACCGTAGTCCAAACTTTTTACACGTCAAAATAACTGTAGCCTTGGAATGTCAGAAAGTGCTAAAACATGCATATATCACTCGACGCAATGTATTCTATTATGACTTTATTCTCGAATATGATGACATATTTAGTGAAAATTCTGATTAGTGTTATTTTTGTTTTTAACAGACAACAATTCCACCTTTAGGTGTATCTAATTCTTGCTGACTTACAGCTGTGTAAGAGCAGCTTCATGTTTGCTTCTGTCCTCATTCTCCAGCAGCAGCCAGCTCTCTGCACTATCCATCGAAGTGGAGCTTCAACATTCTTCTTCTTTCTGTGTTTGGGCAACCATTGCTTTTGAAGTTCCCTGCTGCCCCCTGCTTTACCACAGTTGTTGTTTCATCTGTTAGTAGCTGTCTAGCGGTTTTACAAAATAAAAGTCCTCTGCTATTTCCCAGTTTTAATTGGGGCAGGGAGGCGGGGGCAAATACCAGTGTTCTAAATACTGAGGAGGACATATCGCCCGTGTTCCTCCCCTGAAACCTGCACCTATGGATATACTGTGTATTAATTAAAATGAGTGAGGTGTGTGTATTTTCGTGTGTGTGTGTGATACGTAGGTGTGAGGAAAGAGAGTGCATGAATCAATATGAAAATGTCTGCTTACATCTCTAACAAGCTATCCATCACATGGAATTCAGTTCAAGGCTGAAAAATGACTTGTGGGGATTCTAATGGCATTTTCCAACTAAATTAAAATCAGTTTCTTGTATGACAACAATCTTTTTTCTCTGATGTGGTTTGAAATTGTAGAACAAAGCCAATCAATTTCCCTGTCTGCAGTAGGATAAGTAATTTCCTCTGAATATCAAAACAATCACACAAAGAACTGCAGAAGATGACTGCAATGTGATACAAAGATGTTGTAAGATGAAAAACACGCTTTCTCGTTTTCCGCCGTCTTTTGCTTGCTTATTATTGTGATTCACTACATGTTATTCTTCTATCAGCTTTTTATTTGCATATGATTAAAAAAAAGTGTGTGTGTGTGCCCATTTCAGCATGATGGGAGTACATGTTCTGGTTTGTATGCATGTCTGTGTTTGTGCTGCTGCACAAATCGAGGAGAAAGAATAAGTTGTTCAAGAAAAAAGGCAGACATTCAGATCCAAGCAATGGAACTTAGAAGTTTAAAAATAAGAAACAGCTGCTAACAAACTGCCTCAGTAAAGTGTGTGAGAGAGAAAGTGACACTTTTAAACCTTTGCTGCAGTTCCTGCTCCCAAATCTGAGTGCGTCTGTATGAATGCATGTCAGTGTGTGTAGGCTTTAGTTGATAGGCAGCCTGCCAGTGTTTCTAACTACACATCAGTACCACTCTGCACCCTCCACTCTGATCCACAGCATAACCTCCCCCAGCCTCCACCACCCCTCCACCGCCACCATACCCCTCCCCATTAACACACCCTCTGCCTCTAATGGAGTTCACTGCACACCACTTTCCGCCTGAACACACAGTAGAGGAGTGCAGCTAATAGCAGTTGCACAGTTGGAATACATGGGTGTGAGCTCGAGTTAATGTATGCCACTAGAGCAGTGTTGGCAGACAAGATCGTGTTATCTACAGTGGTGTGTAAGAGCCCGGCCCATCTGTACGGTGACATCCTTCATAAATGAACCAAGCCGAGCTGTGACGGCTGTCTCTTAGGCTGTGCTTCAGTCCTGGTACCGCACTGACACCTCTGATGCGTGTACAGTATCTTGTCTCTGTATCATGAATAGTAAAAGAATGTGCCACGTTTGTATATCACCCTTTAGGCTTCCTTTAACATGAGTTTGACAAGAGGTTTGAGTGAAATTGGTGGAAATGGGCATATGGTGCACTTCCCTTCATTTTCCCTTCATTCAGCACTTGAGTCGCTGAAAGCAGGTGTTTGTAAAGCCACACTTGTTCCCCTCTTTGATCTTGAATTTTCTATGCCCTCTCCTCCTGATTACATTAAAGTGATGTAATGGTTTAAATGGGTCAGACCTAACCTTGCCCTTCTTCTTTTGTTCTACAGGGGCTGCTATGTTTTCCCAGCAGCCACAGGACCTGGTGGTGGTGGCAGGCCAGCCTGTGACGTTACCATGCACTATCCCCGGTTACCATGGCGTTGTCCTGTGGATCAAAGATGGTCTGGCGCTGGGAGTTGGCAGGGACCTCTCTGGTAAGTAACAGCATTTATCCCCTTGTGCGTGTCACCCTGCATTTCTCCATCACCCTCAGTTTCCTCTATTAATTACACTCTCAAATATAACTGTCATATTCAAATTGCTGCTTTTTGTCATCTAAAGCCCCCACATGTCGACATCCTACCCTCTGCCAAATATATCACTCCACAGATGGATAAAAGAGGTCTCGTAATAGTGTGTTACAACACAAGTATTACATTACAAGTGTTATGTAAAACATCAATAATTATATCACTGAACATGACCAAACAGAATTAAAAATTCATTTCTGTCTCTGTGTTAGATGCAGACCTAAATCTCTTATACTTTGCATTTGGCAGGGAAGCACAAAAATCCGAATGAAATATGAAATCAATAGTGGCACTGGTCTTTCTCTGGTGCTTCAGGCTGCTAAATGGCTTTTTGAAGAGTAGCTGGCGTCCTCTAATTACACTGCACCTCATGTATAATTGCCTTAATTGTTTAATTTGGAGTAAAAGTGACTGCTGCACTGTCATTTAGTAGCCTGTTGTTCCACCAAGCCAGGCTTTATGTATATTCATGACCTTGATGAATTTCAAGGAAGCACATCACTCCTCTAAATAAACATTTAAAACCTTTGAAGCACTGAGCTATTGAATGAGAAAATCCATAAAAGCGTAGTGCGCACGCATCATTTACTGAAATGATCATTAAATTCTTCCAAAACAGAGATCCATTTGAATCTGTACACAGCTCTCCATACACAGTAGGATGCATTACTCTATAAGGGCACGGTCTTTATTTTAGAGCTTACTTGGCCTCACACACCACCCTGGGTGACCACTAAAAACTCTAGAGTAATTGCAATTCAGTGCAACAAATTATCCAGCTGCAGCCTTTTTTAAAATGCAGAAGTCTCTTTTTAAACAGGAACGATTACATCAGTATTTCGCGTGAGACTGGGGGTTTTCTACCCTCTGACCTTTAGTAAACGTCGCCGATGCGGTCTGTAATTAAACCTCAGTGGCCGACAGAGCCCCAGTAAAGCCATCCTATTCCCTCCTCAGGTTCTTATCAGGCCCAGGGGAGACTGAGAGGTTGCAGTAAACAATGGTCCTGCAGTCTTCGAGTCTCCTTTGAAGGGAGAGGAGGCAGACGGGGGAGAGTACTTATGATGGATCGAGATAGAATGAGAGAGAGTGGAAGGAAGAGAGAGCACAATTTTATTTGGGGTCAGAGTGGAGCAGAGATGTAGAGTTTGTTTTATCCTCTTCTATTTTTATTGATTTAACAAGACAAGACAATCAAGTTGAAATCTCATTTCAGCGGTGGACAAAGACAGAGGGAGGAATAGAACAAAGAAAACGGAGAGAAAAGTCAAGGGAACTACAGTAGATCAACCTTTAACAACACATCTGTGAAGAGTTTGACAGTCGTGGACAAGATGCAGTAACCCTGACCTTCTCCACAACCCTTCTCGTCTTCCTATTTCGCCAAATAATCAGGCCCAAGATGTACAGGTGGAGCGATCCTTCTCTCCTAAACCATTTTAAAAAATGCACAGGGTTTTGTTTGAGGTGGAATAGCTGCCTGCCTGAAGAAGATAGGTTGCTAAAATCAACAGTATGATACGGACAGGGGCTGAGTGCCTTCTATTGAGACGGATGACACTTTTTCAAAATAAAGAGCTCCACAGCTGTCCTTTTTATCACTCCTGCCTACATAAACAAGCAATGCACGCGGCAGTAAAAGAGTGATGGTACATCCACCGCAAGATGTACACAATGAAAGGAAAGTGGCAGCTGTATACATAAAAAGTGCGACGAATCAAATGTTGCATGGAGCATTTCAATAATATAGGTCTGCTTGGCTATTCATAGAAAGAAGCTGCGTCGGCAACGGTGTTCTCCGCCTGGGACCTGTTTCCATTCACGGGAGCAGTGATTAAAACTGAGAGAACTCTTTCACCATTCAGCGCAAGAAATCATGGCACAAAAGCCAATGATTCCTATCTGTCCCCGAATTTCCTATTCATTCCCTTTTGTGTCACGCCTTTCCACTCTAATTAAAGAAAAGTAAAGTAGCCCCACAACCGCTCAGAACATACCAATCAATGCCATGAATATGCATGACAGAGAATCTGCCACGCATGATCATGGTGACAACAGACAAAGCAACTATAAGTGAATTCTCCCGCCATGCGGTAAAGACGGAGAAAGAAATGTTTGTATACATTACGCCATGCACTTGGGATACGGGAGAATGAGCTCTAGGGAAGATAAGCTGGCATGTAGCAAACCTTCAGCAGCATGCATGTGTCACACTTGCCTCTCATGAGAGCAAATTGAACACCGGTCACCTGTTCACAGCTGCAGCTAACCTGTTTCCATCCCCTTGTGGGTACACTGTGTGAAACATGTTCTAGGTGAGTGCTATAAATCACTAGGCCACGCCTCAAGTGTCTGTAAACTTACATACACACACACACACACACACACACACACACACACACACACACGTTCACCATTGATCCAGCCCCAAGACAAATCCATTCCCCTCTGATGGATTCATTACTCCTTAATGGGCCTATTTTACATTGTTTGCTTTGGGTAACACATTTTGTCTTTGAAATTTGCTGAGATCTAAGATCAATGGCCCTTTACAGGTACACATCACATGTGCAGGGGTGATCAGTCTTCATGTGTGCCACTATGACTTTAGTCAAATTGACAAAATGCATGATCGAGGTGCTTACGAGGTGATAAAAATGCATTATGGTATGTTACCATTGTTTGAAAATGAGATTAGGAAATTCCTATCATTACTATCCTCCACAAATGCAAATTACTTTTCCTTTTGGATCCAGCTAATACACAGAGATGAAACTGGAACGGCGCCATATTCTCACACAGCAAAATTATTCTTAGTTTGCCAGAGGCACAGATGAGGTAATTGGCCAGATCATCTGTTTGTTTAACAGGAATTTACATAGCTTATACCTTGCAACAATTAAAACAAGCAAAACAAAAGTGCACTTGAGGTATGTTCTGTTTCTGGGGTAGGTACACTCAGCACTCGCTTGGTGGACTGGAGTCAACTCAAGGTCACATCATTCAGAATGTGCAATAATCATTACCCTTGCGATCTGCAATGGCATTATTGCCGTGAATCTCATCAATGAACATAAAATTGAAGCAAAATGCTTCTCTGGGTGACCTTGTGCGCATAATGGTGCGTCCTCTATTTTAGGCATTATCCTGAGCAAGGAAAAGCAAGAAGCTCTTTTTCATTCAATGGTTATTAACATTATTAATGGAAGCTTTTAGTTGTGATCAGGTCTCTATTAACCTCTATAAACAGTTATCTTTCTGCATATGTATGCAGAATCTGTAGGTGACGGAAGAAGCAAGAAGTTGGCATCTGAAGCATTCTGGCTTCCTTTTGTAGCCTGACTAGTATTGACCAATCAAGTTTGAACGGGCTTTGGTTGCATGCAGATAAACAATCCATGTGGAGAGCAAAAGAGGCAGAATGCAATCTGGGAAACCATCGACCAACGTCTGACCTCAATTCAGCTTTTTATTAGCTTTTTCCTCATCCATCTGCATTCATATGCAGATTTCTGTTTATAGAGATTAGCTGAAATGTTGTCTGGACCTGTCTCACGTTGCTAATTGAACTGTTAACAATACACAAAAGAGGAAGTCTACATCAGATCTCCCAAAATAGGCTTATCGTCATCAGACAGGGTTCTGAGGTTGGGTCACTATTAACACTGTGACATTTACAACCTGTGTTACCGAAGCCCTGGTATCACTCAGTGTAGGACACATTGTAGAAAGTCTGGTGAAACTTAAAAAAGGAGGCACTAGTTTTTCCACAAAACATCCAGTGCAGCTTCAATCTTTGTTCACTTTTTTTTTAAGTTAGCCTGCCACTTATTTTGCCTTTCTTTGTTTATCTCCTCCCCAGCTTTAATGTTTATGTTTAGGCGTTCTTTTGTCCTTCGTCCTCCCACTGTATAGACCCTTAAGATTAAAGGCTACACGTAGGAGGATGAAATGCAGAGAGTGGCTTAATCGGCTGTAACTCACCCCACCAGCATAAAATGAGGCCCACTTCATGCTCTATTAAAGGCAACTGGATTCAATGAAGCAACAGTCAGTAATTGGACTTTGAGCAGACGATGGGTTTTTGCAGTAGACAAATTCAAGGATTTAAAAGCTGTTCTAAGGCTGCCCAGTCTGTTATGTTCCTTTTGGGCGCAGAAACGTATAACCAGCCTGTAAAAACCTTAACAGTGAAAGACTGGAGTGTTTGGGGATCTCTGAAGTGAACATGAGTCATTGGCTGGGTGTTACTGAGAAATCAATATTTTTCTCCCCAACATTTGTTGGCAATGACCCAACAGTTGGATGGGTACTGACAGATTTTTTTGTTGGAAAGGAAATGACAAGTGTGTGAGTTTAAAGTGTGAAGTTTACTTTTACAAAGCACACAGTTAAAGTGGGGCTTTGTTAAAAGTCTGGCCTTGTTCTGCTGTAAAACTCTCCAATCCTATCTACTCGCTTCGTCATTGATTAATTACTTTTAAGGACCACTGGAGGAAAAAAGCAATTCTTTGCAGGAAATTCATAACATTTTTTTTGGAGTGCATTTTTTATGAACAGACATTCTTATTTCATTCCACATACTGTATCACCAATAATTAGAAAGATGGAGTGAGAGAAAAAGAAAAGGGATCTTCAGAGACGAGCAGTTCTAAAAGCATGAGAAATACCCCATAAAGCTCCCCAGTCAAACACATTCCTCTACTTGCTTATTTGCCCCGGCGGAGGGATGCACTCCACAACATACTCTCAATGCATATTTCGATAATAGTTAGGGAGATATCTTTAAAACCATCTCACTTGACTTGTGTAAAATGTCCAGGTCTCTTAGATATTGCTCTGCTTTGTTGCATTATTAAACTATAAATCATTGCACAGAGCATTGCTGAAACAACTCAAACTGTAGCTGATCCTGTTTACGGCTGCAGTAAAACCTCATTCTGCCGAATGCAGCAACCTCTACAGCAGCTCATTAACATTGCCAGGAGTGCCATAAAAACATGTATTTGACCCTTGATGTGTTAATTTTGTACTGTGAGTAAATTAGCAAATGAACAATCAAAAGCGGTGCTCACCTATGAAGTAATCTATAACACTCACTTGCAATGCAGCTCAGTTTCAGTGCTCAAGCCAATATTGTCTTTGTAATGCATTTGCCAATTAAAATTGACTTCACAATAAGATACATTAAGCTTGTGTGTTGTCTTTATATTGTGTATTGTTAGTGTTGTTATAAGCAGTGGTGAATCCTCCAGCCACTTAGGACACCACCCAGAGGGTGGGCACCAATTTTTTTTGGATGTAAGGAAATAAAATAAAATTTTAAAAAAGATCAAACTTAAGGAAAATAGTGCAGTGGAGTGTATGTGGACAGAATTGGAGTAAGAGAAAATCAAAAGGCAAAAACCATCTGGGGAAAAAAAAAGATTTACAAAAAAAAAAAAAAAATTACAAATTTACACCACCAGGGGAAGCTTGCCTTGGGCATCAGATGTGCTTGGTCCAGCACTCACAGCTTTAAAATGACAAATTTATCTTCTGAGCAGTGTTTTAATTTCGAATTTAACTAAAATGAACAAATGTGTTTGCCCTGTAGGCTATCCTCGCTACACAGTGATTGGAGACCACGGATCGGGAGAGCATCATTTGCGAATCCAGCGTGTCGAGCTGATGGATGACGCCGTGTTTGAGTGCCAGGCTGTCCAGGCTGCCATGAGGTCCCGTCCTGCCCGTCTCACTGTGCTGGGTGAGTCCCAATTAAACACACACACAGTCCAAACAACACCACTATAATAGCAACCGCCCCCAATTGTGGAGGTGCAAAGCAACTGGCGGAAAAGGCTTCACTGGCGTCACTGGCTTCTCACTTTGTCATTCGTTTTTCATGCTAAGAGGACCAAATCAACATCACAGAACATGTCTTTATTATTATTTTAGCTACGTGTGTGATATCTGATATTTCAGGATAAAGGCAGCATAAGCAGTGTTCTGCAGCTTCTGATAAAACACTGAGATCCACATCCAGGTGTGTGGAGAAAAACAGAACAAACAGCTCGTATGCATCATCCCAAATGTTCAACCCAAATCTACACTCTTGAGCCTAAACACTGGGCAGAAGTAGCACCAGAGCTCTAGGGGCCCCTTACAAAAGTGGTGCTTCGTAACAATAAAAGTATACAGTACGAGTCCTTGTTCACTTTCCAATTACACAGAAAATATGAATATAGGTACACGCTCAAACACAGGTGTTCTCATCCAGTCTCTCTCAAAACATGATGAACGTGCAGTAAAACCCGAGAACAAAAGATTTTGTATTAAAACCATCAGAAAGGAATTAAATCAATGCTAATGTTTCCCATTTGGCAGACAGTGTCAATATGACTGAACTTTTACAGACCCTTACATTTCCACTTTAATTTCCTTCCTCTCCATGCAGCCTCCATTTTCATTATTACTGCAAGCTTGAGAGGTTACTGGTTCTTAATTAAACTTTATTGGGTTATCATTCAGCAATGCCATTTCTGCCTTATTGGTTAGCACCGGTGCGATCGCAGGCTAACGTCTCTTTCTTGGGCCCTTCGAGCTTCCCACTGCTTCCTGTCTCCTGCCGCCTCTCACAACCTCCCGCGCTGGAGGACTGCTGGATAGATCGCTCGAGTCAATGACGGAGCAAAAGAGAACAAGGGAGAAGGAATGGGGAAGAGAAAGGGTAGAGGGAGAGGAGGGGGGGGGCGTCTGCCATGCAGTATCCTCGCCACGAGCGGCTGATCCGCCTTATTGATCCAGCCTAATGAAAAGTGAAACTAACGATTTGTAGGGGAGAAGGCAGCAGGAGTAAAAAGAGAGAGGGGAAGACAAATTGCGGCATAACGTTTCTCTGGCTGCCAAGCCCCCTGCAAATGGATATGAGTGAATAATTATGGATACTTCTACAGAGAGCTGAAAATGCAACTGCACTTTCCTACCGTCTACTACTGTCCTTTCTCGACTTGCTCCGGTCTTTCAGAGTTTAGCTGCTCTGACGGAGTGTTTTTTGCACAGAAACTTTGCCATTTGATCACAGCGTCAAGGACAGATGGGAGAGAAGAATCCAATGTGTATCCAGGTGTTTCAGCAAGGTTGTTGTCAATGTATTTGATCAATTCAGCCGTTTAAAGGAATACCTCACCCACAAAATGACTATATCAATGAGTCATGCCATGTTATGTTGAATTAGTGAAGAAAACTTTGTTTCTTGTATGTCTCCATGGAAAAACAGCCAACTCTGACCAAAAAATTGTAGTAATTATTACAGTGACACTAAATAAAAAGTGACAATGTCCATGCACAAAAATCAAAGGAGCCCCCATTGGATAGGTTGGGGGCTGGGTCAAACAAACAAAGGACTTTCGCTCTTCGTGCATAGGGAAAATAGTAATATAAAGACCAAGAACAATGACTGGCCAGCTCACTCAGTGTGGAAGTCTGTGGTACAGGCAGGCAAAATCCAAGATACTCAGACTGTAGTTAAAAATCCTTTACCGATACATGAAACACAGGACTTTCCCCCAGGAGAGCGATGTTGGCTTCCCAAAGTCAACACTGACTATGTTTAATAACTTGATTAGCATGCTAAACTCATTCACTAGATGTGTCACAGGGAACTGCCCATTGGTCCAACATCCCATTGGTCCGACATCCCATTGTTCCAACTATATTAAACCCATTGTTCCGAAGTCCGTTCCGAAATCATCATGATGCCCTGTGGTTAAGGTCTGGTTAGGTTTAGGCACAAAAACCACTTGGTTAGGGTCAGGAAAAGATCATGGTGTGGGTTAAAATGAAAAAGAAAGTGACAAACACATAAGCTGTGAGCCTGCTTCGCCTCAAGCCTTTCCCAGCTGACCCATAGTCGGTCGCTGTGCACTATCAAGGTAGTAATACTCCTGCCTGGAGCCTTTCAGCACCTCTGACTGTCGGACTAATGGGATGTCTGACCAATGGGCTGTCGGACCAATGACATGGACCCGTGTCATATGTCATGTAGCCTATGTAATGCTCAGTACTTCCCAAACACTCTAATGCAAGATTCCAATACAATTTTTGTAGCCAAAATGCATTTGTTTGGGAAGTACGAGCACAGGACTGGAGAAATGAGACTTTGTGTGCTTGAATTTGGACACACATTTTTGAAATAGTTTTACTGTTTTTAAACAAGGTCTCCAGTAAATCAACATATCATGTGTTTGTCGTTTTCTATGGATGTTTTTGCCACAAATTCAAGATCACACAGCATGACTAATTAGTTTAGAAGTGGTTATTTTGTTGGTGAAGTATTCTTCAAACTAAATGCAATTTAGGACATTTTAGGTTACAGCAATGTTATCTCTAAACATTTTATTTATTGCCTGTTTCTGTAGCCTTCCTAGCATCCTTGGGAGTTTTCATATATATATGAAACTGCCACTTCATTTCATTCATATATGAGTGGATGGCTGCCATATACAGCAGATGCAAATACTTCTTGGTTTTTCGCTTTAATCCCCTTGACACTGTGCTCTCCTGGTTTGGCAAACCCTACACTGACTACTCAACGTAATTAAAACAAAGAAACAAATTATTTGCAAATGCTTGACTCTGGACTGCAAGCGACGTACAGCAGCTGGAAGTACACTAGTTGGCCCCTACTGTATTTAAATAACCAATCAGCAATGAGAAAAGGGAAAGCCTTTATTACCTATTTGGCTGATTGAGGCTGAGAGAGTTTATCATTCCTCCCCATAAGCCCAAATAGAAGGTGTTTGTTTAATCCCCTGCCGAGCTAGCTGACTCCTGAATGCACTGCCAGGGAGAACTGCAGGCTGACACACACACAAGGTAATGGAGGAAATATATGCAAGGCCTGTGTCACTGCAAACTCCAAGCTGTCAATTACTTGCCAGTGGTGACAGAGTGTGTCTATCGACTCGGAAGACAGCTACGGCCCCACACACCTATGCGCTCACACACACACACACACACACGTACACACAAATACATAGGCATATACACAATATGCTTACACGCACACCCACATCCACCAGTGCACACACACGCAGCCTCCCTTCTTCGAGCTGACAGCAGAATAAATCTAAAATTCTCCCCTCCATCTTTCATAACTCAATATCAGCCCAAACTCCTCCATGTGCCACATCAGAGGAACTTCTCTCCTCTTGACTTTGATAGGCTCGGAAATAACATAACATAAATATTTACTAACACATAGAGAGAGACCTTTATCACTGCCAGAGACGAGAAACTCTGCTTTTCTTTTTAATGATTTGCTTGAGTTCGTCCTTGTGAGCCAAGCGGTTTGGTTGAGCCAAAGATGAAGCGGCGGTGACCTTACCTGACCTGCCCATTTAAAGGAAAATGTTTAATAAGTGGAAGAAGGCTTTTGTTTTACTTTCATTCACATCAGCCAATACTTCAAGTGCAAGAGCAATGCAATTAAAGAGGAAAACACACAACACATTCCCATTCACAAACATTAATGAAGTTCCTTCATTAAAGGGCTTCGAGAGCAAAATGGATGTTGAACTTAACCCTTGCGAGCGTTTGCATGGCTTGCAGGCTTGCCCTCACATGCCAAAGGAGAATCAAGGTCTTGTGAATTAGTCATGAAGGAAGAGAATGGAGGGTTTCAGGTCCAAAAAAGACCCCTGGGGCTAATTATATCCCTTGCAGCAAGTTGGCAATGCTCCAGACCTTTGCTCTAATCTTTCTACCTTAGGTTGGGGACCACTAGAACAAAGGGAAAGGAGTTCACTGTTGTTTGATTAAGGTGTTTGGCTGAAAAACTACTTTGAGGTGCTCTGGGTTTTTTCGTAAATTGGAAGCGCGTTAATCTCTTCCACAAATGTAAAATGTGTCATAATGTCACAATGAAATGCGGTGCCATTTATTGACTCATTGCTGACATTTTCATACATCAGTTTCTGTCTTAAATGTTTCTGTCTCTTTCATCCTTTCTCCGACTTTGTCTTTTTACCTCATTCCAAGTTAATGCACAGCCGTGGAGTTCGATTGCTGGATTCTCTTCATTTAAAGTGTTGCGTTAAAAGCATACACAATTAATGCAGAGATGCTTTGTACATCTGTGTAATCTCTGTTAATTGAGGTTTTAAAATAGCTCATCAGGTATTTACTTTACCAGAGATGAACTCTGAAGATAACTAAGTGGTCTAGATGACTTATATACTTCCACTCAATCTGAAGTCATTAGTACACTTGAGTTATTGTCAGTGTTTTCATGAATTTTTTTCTTATGTAAACTTAACTGTCACTTTATCCTGATATGACATGCCCAGAGTTTAGATTAACTTTTTTTTTTTTTTTTTTTGCTTGCTTGGTTTTTTGTTTTTTTTTGCTAATTATAAGACTGCAAAGGATTGAGAAAAATTGTTGCTTTTCGAACTGTTGCAAGTGTGGGTGATCAGCTTGGTTTACTTGCAGCTACATTTTATATATATACATTTCAGATTTTTTTTTTTAACCTCTATGTTCCAGCTCTGCCAAGTGCAGGGTCATAAAGGTCATTTCGCAGACCACACTTTTGAGATCAGGCAGAAATTGGGAAATGCTTCAAGAGTTTAACCTTGCTTGAAGCAAATAAAGTGGGGTTGCAAAGCTTGACTCTTCATTAGGAGAAAATATTACATATATACGTCGCTGTCAGACTCCGTAATACCCTGCAATTGTAGTATTATATCATATGCATTTAATAAA